ATATCATCCCCTTCCTAAGGGTTTCTTTCTCATGGTCATACAATGATTTCCTACACATATGAAGACCGATGTCACAAACTGCCATATCCGTCATGCTGACATCCCTATAGTTCGGAACGCCCCTGAAAGGTACGTTCATTGACCTTAGTTGCTCAAGCTTAGTCGTCGTGTAAGGTGGTGGTGGAACATACTGCTGCGCTTCGCTAATTCTGCCACATGAATCATAGGGGGTATCATCTGCTGGCAAATCTATGACTAGTCTACCCTGAGCCTGGATAGCATGCAAAATCTCAGTTGGTACTGGTAATGGCATACCATGAACAGGTACTGGCATGGCATCAACCGGTGTGGGCATAGCATGTCTATCTCCCTGGTCACCATATGAATCGTCCGAATCACTGCTAACTACATCACCGATCCTGTCCTCCTCCTCCTGCTTCTCCTCTTCCAGTTCGAACTCATTCACATCGAAATCATTGTTTATACAGCCTACTTGACTTGAATGAAACCGCTCTTTGTGTCAACTGACCGTCCAAATCCATGTTACCCTGAGCTGCTTTCCCTTCGACCCCCCAATTCTTGCTCATTGCCTCCAACACCATCAATGGACGGCCCGTCCAGGATACCCTGCATCCTGTACCCATTCTTCACCACCACCTCAGCCATGGGCACATTGAAACCTTAGACCACCCTAGTGTAGCGGGACCAGTGAGCAGGGTCACGCAAGGGCATGAGGACATAGTGTGCCCTAGTCTTCCCAGTATCAAACCTCCCCTTCAGTGTGAAATCACCGTCAAACTTTGTATTCAAACGGACACAAAGGTCGTTGAAGCTAGGAGGTTCATCAAACCATTCAAATTCTTCTTCCATATCCTCAAACATATCATCTTCTCTCCTAACACTTCCTCCGTAAAAACTCTAAGACAACAATCCATCTACAAAGGCTAACTACAACAACTAATTATACTAAATATAATGTATAACTAGACTCACTAACTGTACTAATTAAACTAACTAACTTTACTATCTATACTAACTTACTATATTGCCTATACTAACTAAACTAACTAACTTTACTAACTATACTTTATTAATTATACTAACTTTATTTATTTTACTAACTTACTATACTAACAATGTCGATTCAATCAACAAATACACTAGGGGAGTACCTCGCGGCAGCGGTGCTCGTCCTCATGGCGGCGGCTCACTAGACCGGGCCGAGAGGCGCGGGCGCCGCAGTGAGGGAGGTGGCGGGCGCGGCGGGCAGCCGCCGTGCGTGGCCGGAGGACGCGGCGGGCGGCCGGCGAGCGGTGGCCGTGGCGCGGGCCGGCGCGTGCGTGGCAAGGCCAGTGCGGTGGGCGGCCACGGACGACGACAGGTGCGGCGGCGGGCACGCGGGTAGGCAGGCGAGGCGACGGGCAGGCGTGAAGGCGCGGCGGCCAGGCGGCCAGGCGCGGCGGGGGCGGCAGCCAGGCAGCCAGGCGCAGAAGCCAACAGGCGTGGGCGAGCGCGGCGGTATTTACCTGGCTCTGCCGCGCCACCGATCAGCGCCCCAGTCGTCGCCACATCAACCCTCTCGCCGTGCCACCATGCATGGCGCGGCACTGGCGTTTCGCCACGCTAGGGAAATTAGCGCGGCCAAAAGTGTTAGTTTTGAAAATTAAAATTAAACAGTGTTAGATTTAAAATTAGTTTATAAAAAATATTAAAAAAATCTCTCTCTCATGGTCATGGGGTGTCGTCCATGTTTATGTTTATAAAAGATGTCGTCCATGTTTCATCGACAAAATAAAAGATGCACGTCGTCCGATGATGAGAAAGCAGACGACGACGCCATCTTGCAGCAACCTGATTTTTTTAGCTTGTTCGTTGGTTGCTTTTTGAGCAGATAAGCACGGCTGGTGCTAGTTTGTTGTGAGTGAAAAAATACTGTTGACTGACTGATAAGCTCTGGCTGAAACCAACAAGCGAACATGCTGTTTATCCTTTTTCCTCAACGCCCGCCTCAAGCCGGAATAGAAGTAGTAGTGGATATGATATCCCAAACGTACGCCATGTTCGTTTCTCTTCTAATCCGTCTTTTTCAGCTCGTTTTTTCAGTCAGAACAGTGTTTTTCTCTCACAATAAATCAGCCGGAACAATGTTTCGGTTTGTTTTTTCAGCGAAACAAACGGGGCTGTAGATGTGAGTACGTGATGGCCCAAACCGTGTTTAATTTGGCCTTGTTCGTTTATCTAAAACGGTTCTCACTAATTTTTTATAATCTTGATCAACTGGAATGATTCCTAGGCTCGTTCCAGCATAACTGAAGGAGGCCTTACTTGGATTGGGACTCGTTTCAATCTCTCTCTAGTATACTGACACAACCCTTGCCCGTTTCCTCCCAAATATCTCTCCGTTGACGACACGGGCCGAGCTCTTCACCAGGTCGTATTCTCAAATCTCTCCATTGATGACCAAGCGAGTTCTTCCCCCATCTCGTAGCCTTCTAATCTCTGTAGGCTATCCTCATGAAGTAAAAGCGTTCGATATTGGCTAAAACAGCTTATCTTTACTTCAACGGTCTCATGACGCGAACTGCATATGTGAAAGCGCTCAATATCGGCTAAAACAGCTGATTCAGGCATAGCACACAGTTAAGGTCATGCCCTATCAGAAACAGATCTACCAACTAATGATCCCCACTCTACGGTACTAACAGTGGGGTGTGAGGCAGAATCACACATGCTATGATAACGGGCCATAAAACGGTTTTCGTTAGCTAATAGATCTATTCGAGATCAGACATGCTTTAACCGCACACTATGCACGATCAAGATTGACATGAAACAGCCGATAAAACATAACTCATCGTTTAAGGTGCAGATTAGATCAGTTTAGATTAACAAACGATGGGTTAAACATGATATAAGGCCGATCTAGATCAATCACAATCGGGCGAAGTGATATTGCTGTAATTAAATAAATAATGGAAGCAATAAACAATATCGGTAACTTAATGAATCTATCTGAAGGAACGCCGCCCTTAGATAGAACCGATAACTTGACCTTAATTTAGTTCGAGCAGTGGAGGTTGACCGGATCGATGCAGCCGTACTTGAACTAAACAAGAGTCGATAACTAGCTTATACCAGAGTCGCAGTGGAGGTCGACCGGATCAATGCAGCCGTACGAATAGAAGTATAAGCCATGACGGTACTTACAGACATGCCGGATGTTGGCCGGACCGATGCAGCCCTGCTCGCTGCAGAACTCACCGAGATCTATTCTACTTCTACTCCTAAGGGATGGCCAGAGCCGAAAAAAGTAAGGAACTTGTATTTGATTGATCGTGTGTCCTTTACAATAGTTGGGATCCAATATTCATACCCGGAACCTACGCATGATTCCTACCTAAGCATGACTCATCACAATTTTTGTCCTAAGAGAAAATATTCCGAACTTAAGATAACTTGGACCCTAATCTTTTCCTTTTTATAGAGTCCAATATGTTTTGTCCCGGCGCCGATCGTAGCTTTTGTCATTATTTGCTGACGCTATCTGAAGAAAGCCGATTCCAGTGTTGCATTCAAATCAGCTGATACCAACCTGTACACAATTGATTCCTTGATAACATGATCTTGGAAGCTTTCGAGTCTCTTCGATTCTTCTTCCAAATTTTAGTGTAAACAAGTGGTTGGCAGCGGCGTGAGCTTCCGTTAGGAACCATGTCCGTGGGATCGAGCGAAGCGGAGCCAGCTCTCAGATGTCGGCCGAGGCAGAGCCTACCCTTAGGGGTCGGCCAAGGTGGAGCCAGCCCTCGGACGTCAGGCGAGGAGGAGCCCGCCCTTAGACGTCGGCCGAGGCGGAGCCAACCCTCAGGGGTCAGCCAAGGCGAAGCCTATCATCGGGAGTCAGCCGAAATGGAGTCAGCCCTCAGACGTCGAGCGAGGTGGAGCCAGTCCTCAGACGTCGGGCAAGGCAGAGCCAGCGCCAGCCCTCAGACATCAGGCGAGTGGGAGCCAACCCTCGGGGGTCGGACGAGGCGGGGCAACCCTCGTGAGTCGGCCGAGGCGGAGCCAACCCTCGGGGGTCGGGCAAGGTGGAGCCCGCGGCCTCAGCGACCACCGAGGCGGAGCCCATGGCCTCGGTGGTCGGACGAGTCGGAGCCCAACAAGAGGTGTAGTCACGCTCTTGACTGCTCGGACGAATCAACGTTGATGGTTATTAGCTACTTCTCTTCGGGTACCCTAGTATTGATCCCCGACAGTTCGCTTGTTGCAAACTTAAAGTATTGGTCATTTTGACATGGCTTTTATCCATGATTTGGTGCATCCTGATCCAAGAAATTTCCATAATTTGGTGCTTTCTAGATCCCAGAAAATTCCCTCTCTAGGTGTTCACTTTCTAGTTTCTACTCATCGGTTAATTCTTTTGTGTGAATGCAATAGATAAGCAAGTTCTCTTGTGGTCATAGGAGCACATACAAACGATCATTTTGTCTTTACACCCAACACGGCATATATTCCATGGCTTCGTCTTCTTCTTCTCTTTATTCATGTGCTTCGCTTTGCAGAAATCTCCTCGATCGTGAACAATTTTTCTCAAACTAATCTCTTTGTTGGCATTGTCCTACTCAACATAGTTTTCGACATGCTAAACCCTTTCTCAAGTGCATATTTGTTATAAAACTGAAAGCCTTATTCATTCTCACTAACAAACATCTTCCGGAAGACGAGAGCACCTGCGATGACATGGGAGATGGAGGCCAGCAGCTCGCTGGAGAGATAGATGGAGGCAAGGCAAGCAGTGGAGGTAGGCTACAAGATAAATAACTGAACAACTCTTCTTCCATGGCGAACACGTGCACGCTGCAATACATATGCTTCGGCAGTACAGAGCGAGATGGATGGGGGGTACTTGAAACAAAGAGATAGGAAGAGTACGGAGACCATCCTTCCATGGCCAGCAGATAGAAGCACACCAACGACGACCATACGTACTCTCCTTTGCATTGTCATGTGCTCAGTACGCATGCACGCGAGATGATGCATCTAGCTAGTTCCGTGGGGTGAGCAGGGTAGACGAGGACGTCGCTGGCCTTGGCGATGGCAGCGCCGGCCAACGCATCAGCTTGCGGGAACCGGCCTGCCACTGGCAAGAACAGGAGGCAGACGCCGAGCATCCTGGTGACCAAGCCGAGCAGGACCTGCGCAGCGTCGCCGTCAGCGTTGGGGTTGCCCACGGCCGAGACCGTTTTTCTTAAAAAAACACACGTAATTTTTTTTCCAAGATTGGTGGACATTAATGATCTGTTTTGGTATGGCTGTGGTGACGTAGATGTAGCAGGTTTTGCCCTTTTTTTCCAGTGTTTTGTGCAGGTATTAATACTATAATCAATTGATGGTTGTAGTAATCCTGGATGTTGTGACACCAGAGAAATCCACAAGACCATTAAAATATCTGTTCGGCAGCACAATAATCTCCTTGCAGACAAGCAATTGTTGCCTATGCACTAATAAACCTTTTTACTCACATGCATCTCGAATCACAATAATTGCTGTTATAATCATAGAAACTACTATTGTTTCACAAAACACTGTTTCTAGTGTAACATCGTCTACATATGTAATCCAATGAAATCATATACAGCCGTAAAATCCTTTCCGTACAATCACAAATATTTGCACTATATTGTAGTCACTCCATATGACCATACGAAACCGAGATAGCCATAACAAGCTTCAGGTCCAGGCACCAAAACAGCTCTCTGATTTCTCCAATATAGCAAATTACCAACCATCATGCGTGCTACCTAGCACCTCACAAACAGCCTGAAATTCAAAATAGCTAGACATTTAGTGATAATTTTCAGAGAAGTTTTATAAAAGGGAGATAGTACTCATAAAACATCTTGGCTCTATTTGTAGGAACATGCATAGCAGGAGAATATGTACAAGACTAAATAATCTGCTCCATTTGTCATACACATAAAAAAAGGAAAAAAAAAGCAGCTAGGAAAAGAAACATTAAGGTTTTGTTGTCAATACACTGACCATAAATCACATGCAAGTAAAATGCATACATGAGACTACAAAAAATGAATTGATTCTTTGATCTCTAAGAATATATTTTAATATGAATCAACAACATGTGCAATCTAGTAAATAAGAGAACATTGGGGTACGCTGCGGGCTCTCCTTAATTAACCAATTCAATTTCGCTGTTTCAAAGAAAAGAGCAAAGGTTATTGAAAAATCAATTCAAAATAGTATTTCAAAATTGGTCAATTATTATCAATTCCTAAAAGATAGCACCGCTTCCACAGCGCCTCAATGAGGCCACTGCACACCGGCACACATCAGTTAGCTGTCAAGGTGTACATCCACATATGGAAAAATAGAGAATGAAAATCAATTAGTCAAATGCACAAAATCTGAGGATTAGTTACAACTTATTGTTGCAGGTTCGTTTTTGGGCCTATTTAACGACTCAGAAAAATATTCAGTGCAACAGCATCACCTAACATAAGAGTTTGACATGAAACTTCTGTTATTTATTTAATTGAATGCTCAAATACAGTTCGTTAGCAAATTAAAATGGGCTGGCACAAATAATACAAAGCACATAAATTAAAATAGCATAATCTCAAATAGTTACAATGTCTGAGCATAAAAGGCAAAATAGCATGATTCGAAACAGTATGTCAGTACCACATGTGGGAACAAAAGTAACGGTATCCTTGTCGCAAATAATAAAACAATATCATTTGACAGCACTAAAGGTAAAGTAGGCCGAACCATAAACCCTAGGACCGTATTATTTGTGAACACAAAAACTAGAATACTCTGAACACAAATTAAACTATGTGCTAGAACTAAAGTTGCAGTAGGTTGATGGCAAATAATAACATGGCACAGACGAACGCAGGCAACGGACACAAACAGTTTCATCTTCGTCACCAAGAAAAGGATGAGAAAATTTGGCTCTTAACCAAAACTATTATGTCGCTTCAGACAAAAAGAAAAACCATAAGTATCTTAGGGCCAACTCAGCAATAATTTATTCAGATCTGAACCATCCACTAACCCTTGCATTAAAATAGTATGTCCTTGAAAACGTGACATAAAAAGACGATTTTAATTTTGCCTGCATACATGTCAAGCTAGCACTATTTTCCAACATAATAACAATGCAAATAGTGTGTGATGTTAATTGTTCAGTCATCTGTGCATGTGAGAGCTAAAGCAAACCTTGATAAATCTATGACATGACATATGGTAGAGATCTGTTGATATAAAAGTAATTTTCAGAACAAAAATAGGCAAAGACCTAATAAAATGACAGAAGCAGTTTGAAATCACCTCTCCTGCAACGCGCTATCATGCCAGGATCAGACCCCAGACAGCGAATCGCAATTAGATTGAAATCACCTTCACTTCCTTCAGACCTGCTGCCCTGCTCGTGATGCAGGGACACCACCAGGCCTGGAACCACCTCCGTCCTCTGCTTCCGCTCCAACATCGCCGTGCGGTATGCACGAGGCACGGCATCCCTGGGAGGAGCTGGGGAGCACAGTGGCCGTCATGAGGAGCTGGGGAGCCCAGCTCGCGGCCAAGCGAGGACGAAAGAGGGCAGCTGATGTGCTGTTGCTGAGGAAGAGCTCCAGCGCCTAGATCCAGAGGAGGATGCGCCGCACCTGGTTGTGATTGAGCAGGGAGGAAGCCGACTGACGCGGCCTTGCCGTAGCAACCAACGCACGAAATTAGGATTTGGGGCAAGACAAGGTGCGCTCGGCGGCGTCTTCGTCTTCGTCGAGGAGGATGCGGAGCAGGACGGCGCTGGAGGGGTGAGGGGCGGCGCCGGAGGGGTGCACAGCGGTGCCGGAGGGGTCAGGGGTGAGAGGCCGTGAGGGACGGAGCAGGCAGGGCGGACGGGCGTGAGCGGATTGGAAATTTTTGGAACCGCAAGGAACGTGGGTGTGTGGTGGGTTGGGGGGGAGGGGGACGACGGCCGGATGGGTGTCGCCGCTCGGTGGCGCTCGGCGAAAAAAAAAATGGCCCGGGCCTGGGAGCTTTGACCCAGAGGGAGGACCGAAGAGGTACCGGTACAGAATAATTATTTAGTAACTAGGTATCATAGAGTAATACTAGGTATATATATATATACACACACTATATACTATAGTGGCACAGGACAATACAAGGAAGCTGCAACATAACCAAATACTAATAACACTTATATAGAGTATTATTACATAACACAGCGGGCATAATAGTACATGCTCAGGAAGAGAGCGATGTGGGAGAGACAGGGTACTATGGGAAACAAAGAAAGATAAATACGTAGCTTCGGCGTATATATGTAGCTTTTTTTTGACAATTACACAAAACAACGTACACCCAACACACGTAGATCCTTGTTGTCTTATTGACCAACATAATGAAGCACACGTACTAAAACGTACCACCAGGACACCATCAGCTGCTCGCTGCCCATGCGCGCAGGATGGCGGAGCTAGTTCCATGGGATGAAGAAGCGCCTGAGGACGGCGCCGACCAAACGATCAGCTTGTGGGAACCGACCTGCCACTGGCACCAAAGAAAGGAGGCACACGCCCAGCAACCAACAGGTGGTGAAAGCGAGAAAGACCTGCGCGGCGTCAGCATCGGGGTTGCACACGGTTGAGACGGCGGCGGCTGCTCCTAGCATCATCAGCGCGCGTGCGGCGTCGAGGAGGTTGTAGTGCCGGTGGTCGCGGCGGCCTGCTTGTGCTTGGACGTCGACGTGTACCGGGTGATTAGGCAGCATCTCTCCCTGGTTCGCCATTTGTGCTAGCCTGCGGACGGTGCGGCTTGGAGCCTGGGACAGATGAGGGGTGTCAGGTGTGGTGGATGGATGTGTGCTGATGGATGATGCGTGTCTCTTTATAATAACGGGAAGGGGCGGGGTGTGGTTTTGAGGCGCCAAGCCGCCAAATAGGTGCGTGTAACTGAGCAGAGACCAGCGAATGTCTTGGGAAAAGATGTCGTCCGAGTCCCACGATGAGAAAGGCAGAAAGCAAACCTCATTCCGCAGCGTCATCCACGTCCTCGAGCAACATGCCTTTTCCACATCACAGGCCGGAATAAAGGTAGCAGGTAGTAGATGTGACATCCCAAGCTGGGTTACTTGCGAGTTGTTTCTTGGAATTTATCCCCGTGGGAAACCATCCCCGTTACTAAATGCAATATTTGGAGAGCAAATGTAAAATCACGGTGTCAAATCAATATAAATTGAACATGCAAAATTTCATATTACAAGAGACATCTACTTTAGTTTTAGTTTGCTATTTATACTAGGCCATGTGTTGAGTTTTTGGTACAATTTTAACATGCCAAGGAGCTAATTTAGAATAAGAGAAAGTTCGCGGGGTGGGTTTACGGAGAACGGGGATGGGGGATGGCATCCCCGTCCCCGCGAACCGGACAAGAACTAAAATTTCCCTGTTTCAATCCCCGCGGGTATTAAATTGCCCCATCCCCGTCCCCTAAGAGGGAATTCCTTGCAGGGAATCATGATCGGGTCCCAATTGCCATCTCTAATCACGATAGGCCGAGCTCTTCCCCGTTTTGTAGACCCTAATCTCTCTCCATTGATGACCGAGCGAGTTCTTCCCCATTTCGTAGCCCTCCAATCTCTTTGTAGCATGTACTTCAGAAAGTTGTACATCTCCATTTAATTCTATTTTTTCTCACTGCAAATATAGTTTCTTGTCTGTGCGACTAATTCATTTTAGAGAATAATTTCATAAAATCCGCAGAGAATTACTTGTCTCCGAAAAAATGTTTGTCAGAGCTTTTACTGGATTCAGAAGAGAGCAAAACAGGATCTAAGCTGCACCGATCGGAGCCCAAACTTCAATTAATTTATATTATTATATAATATAGAGAGGGGCCGGGGCCTGCCGAGCCGATGGGCGGTGGTAGCTACATCCCCACACACACATCAGCAACCGCACCCCCCAACGCCAAAGTCCCTTTTATTTACTTTTTGATTCCTGTCATTTTTCAGCGAGTGAAGGCCGGGTTTACGCGTAGGCACAAGTCAACGAATACCGGCATAACACCGGACTTGGTAGCATAAGATTGCTGGTCCAGTGAATAACGGATTAACGGAGGTAGCATAAGATTGTCCTTGTTTATGGCAGGTCGGTAAATTTGGCTGGGCTTTTGTTTACACAGGCCTATCTACTGCTAATGCCGGACCGGGCATCACCAAAGGAAATCTGAACTAGTTGGGCCGGCCAAACTGAGGCGTGTGTATAAAATGGGGGCCTGGCGGAATCTGGACGCACCGCCGACCCAGCATATTTTACAGCGGTACAGGTGAGAAGCGCCTTTGCTCCGTGCTCGGGTTTAACACGCACAGCGATAGGGCTTACTGTTGCTAGCAGACGATTGTGCGTGCTGCACGCAGACGGACCATAGAAATAGAAAGAGCAGCATGGAGATCATCCTTCCATGGCCAACGGATAGAAGCACATCAAAGACCGTTTGCTCACTACCCATGCACGCGGGATGGAGCTAGTTCCATGGGGTGAACAGGTAGCCAAGGACGGCGCTGGCGTTGGCCATGGCAGCGCCGGCCAACGCATCAGCTTGCGGGAACCGGCCTAGCAGTGGCACGAACGAAAGGAGGCAGACGCCGAGCAGCCAGGTGACGAAGACGAGCAAGACCTGCGAGGCGTCACCGTCAGCGTCGGGGTTGCCCACGGCCGAGACGGCGGCGACTGCTCCGAGCAGCATGAGCGCGCGCGCGGCGTCGAGGAGATGGAGATGGTACTGGTGCTGGTGGTGCGGCCGGTCGCGGTGGCCTGGCACGTCGGCGTTCCAGGCCATAACGTACTGCACCGGGTGATTAGGCACCTCTCCCCGGTTAGCCATTGGTGCGGGTTGGAATGTGTTATGGACTCTGGCGCGTGGTGACTATACTCTGGACGGTGTGTGCTTCCATTCACCAGGTGTGGTGAGAGGAGGAGGATTGCCATCGATGAATTATATAGAGTGACGGCCTCAAATATATAAATCGCCAATTCCTACGATGCCTTGACCACCGAGTGACGGCCCCTATTTTCCTATGCGCGCATGGACAGCTAACCAGCTGCACTGCTTCTTCGGTAGTGGTCCTAGTGGACGCCCAACCCCGTCCCAATCGTCGGCAACCCCGGAGCACGAGGTCGAGCTACTTCGACAGGCCGGGTAAAGCAAGCAATGCTTGACGACGGCGTTGCCCACGTACAGTGGCGCAGACCAACGTATGTAACGCCAACCGTGGTCTGCCACTAGGGAATTAAGGTCAGGGGATTAAACAAACCCGGCGTGTCTCCCCAATGGGCAACCGGCCCCGCTAATTTTCTGCTTCTTGCATTGCCAGTTGGCACGCTGAATTTTATTGCTCATTAATCTGTCAAACATCGAAAGTCCGAGACAGAGAGAGCATGAAGCACCCAACACAAGAGACTTGCACCAGGGGTGGGGGGGCGAGGGAGGGGGAGGGCATGGTGCAAAGGAAAATGGGGCTGCCCGGCTGGGTGACGCCATAATTGGTGGTACGGTTTTTGGTTTTGGTCTTCCACTTTAGATTTCCTCTGCTTGCTCAAGCAAATATTTCTTCTGCGTGCACCTCATCACCTATGATGCTGCCATTTTTCTTTCTTTTTTTCGCCACCGTGCCTAGTCACAGTATTTTCTCTTCTTTTATTTGTAGCAGACATGCATACTCCTGCTTATATATTGGCTGCAGACATGGAGCTGTCGGCTGTCGCTGCCCTCTCGCATTTCAGTTCATTCTTTTGTGTGCAGTTGGGCCCCGTGATACTCCCTGCTGCCGGTGCAAGTGCAACACGGAAGTCTTCATAAAATGTGTCCATCTATCTATATATATGAACTTTAAATTTGAGGCGTTCACTGTTCATACGGCCCTCCCCGAGTCTCAGATCACTGTAGGTCATCAGTACCGGGTACCGGATCTGCGATGAACAGTTCCAACCCGATAAAACAGTACCGACCCGAAAAGGAAACAGTGTAAACCCAATAATGAACAGTACAAAACCGATACGAAAACAGTCCATGCCCGTTACAGAACAGTACACACCCGTTCCATCTTTTCTTTCCCCTTCTTTTTTCCCCACCCTCCTTCCCACGCGCAGCGTGGGGGCTCACGCTAGTTCCTAATAAATAGGAGTAGGAATATACATGATTGCGAGCCAATCACAGGGACCCCTTTTAACAAGGTCAAAAGACATGCCGAAACCATAAATAATAATAACAAACATGGTCGCTATAATATACAGTAGTGTATACAAGTATTCAAAAATTATACTCAAATACAAGAGATTTTAGGGGAGACAATAATTTTGCATTAAATAGTTGCATAAATTTGATTGGTATTATATTGTTATAATTTATTGGTCAATCATCATTAGTCATATTGATGGTAGCGTCATGCATCTTTATGTTTTCTTTTAATCTGTACAGACCAAACAGAGGGAGTGCATAATTTATTACATTCACGTTTTTTAGCGAAATTATTACATTCACGTTATCTATACTTAATATTAATTTTGATAATTTTCTTTGGTCCATCACTTTGTCTTCTATACCTAATGCATTGAAAAATGTATGAAGAGACTCTGTTATACCAGAGCAAAACTAACTAATGGCCTTGGATATCGTCCTTATTCTAAAGGTCAAAATAAGATGACAAAACTAGTGTACGCAATGAAATGAAAAATACAAATATAAAGTGAGAGTGAAGAGTGAAATAGGTCTGCACAAGATTCATGCAAGCTTGTGCAGGCTCATAAATGGGGAAAAACCATAGCGCTAAACAACCCGCTAGGAAAGGAAAAGTTTTTATTTTTGCCTAGTAATAAAAAGATCAAATTGTCTATGAAGAAGAAGGACGACATTGGTTTCTAAGAAGTGAACCTAAAATTGGCTAACACAGAAAATGGCAAAATGTATGGTAGGGGAATTAGAATTAGGTGACATGAGTTTCATAAAAAGCAAGTCCATTGTGCTTAGTTAGCCAAGGAACAGTTCACTAAAGTGATGTGAGTTGTGTGTCTTTTAATTTGATAGATAAATTGATTAAAATAAAAACAAAGTGTGTGTACTCTACATGATACAACATTTGCTAGCTACATTGCGCGGGTACAATAGGAAAAAAACAACAATCCTAACAATACAGAAACTAGTAATTTTAAACATGTCTTCTCTATAAAGAGAACACGCTAACCATACTATCAGACATGATCTCTATTAACAAAAATTTTCTATAAATACGCAAGGCTGAATCAACAATTAAATATGTGCAACAGATTGTCCATTTCAGTCTTTGTAAGAAATTGTATTAAACATTACATAGAGTAGTAATACAAAACTCAAACTGATGAAGACAACATATATACCGTTGATGAGCCCATTAGGCCAGTCTCAATGAGAGTTTTTGTCAAAGTTTCATTTACACTTAATAGGTTACCACATAAGCATTTTTGATGATGTGACAACAATTTTAATAAGAGATAGAAGATGTGAGTTTCATCTAGACAAAACTTGCTTGGCTTAGTTTTCAACTCTAGATGTATATGAAACAAAATAATGAAACTACACATTCAAAGTGATTGTTCCATCTACGTTTCACTACATTTTACATTTTACATTCTTAGAAGCAGCACTATGAAACTCTCCACCTAAAATGACCTTACACTAGTTTCACATAAATTGCTTGCTTCACCCCTCTCGGTCTAAGCAGTCAATGTACAAGGGATTGTCGCCTCTTCTTGC